ATTGTAATATGTGACCATTCAAAGAGAAATTGAAGACACTTAATGACCTTAGTTATTACCTATCCCTTATATCATTTAGCCACTCGAACCTCAACTCCACTTCTCTGCATTCTACATCCATAAGTCTTAAGATCATGTATTGGACCACTTTCTCATTGTAGATGTAGATTTTGCTCTCACCCACCATGTAGTTTCTTAAGTTGGGACTTGTTATCCTTGATGTCATTTTCCAAGAGAGTCACAAAGGAGCTTCTTCTACAATTATACATTGTAAGAGGAGATTTTATCCCAAATGGGGCACTCTAAAGAAGCCGAGACAAATCTTTTGGTAGTTCTCTCTCTTTTAAATGATGATTGATAAGTCTTCATTATCATGAGAAAATAATTAATAAATAATATAGTTTTAGTCCTAACTAATGATAAATAGACTTATATTTATATTAAATTGTGAAAGTAATTTTTATTTGATTAGTGTGAATTTTTGGCTAATTATCTAATTATATGTGATTTTATATAATTTTTATAATCTTATTTTTGAAATAAATAAAGAAAAAAATAAAATAAAAAGATAAAAAGGGGGGACCTGTCAGCCAGCCGGGCCTACAAGCGGGTTAGAAGTGCAATCAAAATAAAGTCACAAGTAGGGGCTCGAGCGACTATAGACCGATGGAGGCATGTGTGCACCACTCCCCTTCCAAGTCACTAGTGGCCAACCTACTATGAGGCAAGGAGTGGTCGTACACATGAGAGAAATAGACTCATTACTTCTAGATCTAGTATTACTATATATTCACCCAAAACTTCAACATACAACCGATATGGGATTAAACCCGCATCACACCTTCCTCGAAATAGTGTTGATTATTTCAATACATAAAATATCTCTTAATTATAACAACGATATATTATGATGATGTCACTTTATAAGGGTATTAGAGTATTTATTTCATTCTCTCTCATACAAGCAAGTGAATGATGAGGGTTCAAATCTTACTAGAGTCAAAACTCGTATTTTTATCTGATTAAATCACAGCTTTCTTGTAAATCACCAATGAAGGATTAAGCCACTAGAATCACGGTGAAAATATCGTGAATGCGATTCATGGAGCATTCTTACTAAAATTATTGAATGATTTGTGATAAAAAGATTACAAATCTATCAAGTAAATGATCTTTGATTGATCAATAAACAAGTTGCCGTCAAGAAGAGGATGATCTATCGAGAGACTAGTCGCCACCTCTTGAGAGCATACTAGATGCGATGAAGAGCCTTCTCTTGTTGTGCGGACTTAAGAATGGAGCTCCCTAACATGCACCCTACCTCAATCCAACTCTTCTCCATCAAGTGACAACCACTGAAGAGCTAGAAAGTCACCATTTTTCTGCTCCATAGGTTAATAGTCGCCGTTTTCCTGCTCCACTAAGTGATAGCCACTGAAGAGCCATAAAGTCGTTGTTTTTTCACTCTACTGAGTGACAGCTGATAAGTCTTCATTATCATGAGTTAATAATTAGTAAATAATATAGTTTTAGCCTTAACTCATGATAAATAGACTTATATTTGTGTTAAAGAATGATTTTTGGTTTTCAATTGATTAACGTGAATTTTTGGGTAATTATGTGATTTTATACGATTTTTATAGTCTTACTTTTGAGATAAATGAAGAACAAGAAATAAAAATAAAAAATATTACAAAAATGGGGGGACCCGCCGGCCAGCTGGGCCAGTAAGCAGGTCGGATGCGCAGTCTGAGAGTAAGCCACGAGCAGGGGCTCGAGCGGGTTGGCTTGGGGACCGATAGGGCATGCGTACGCCACTTCCCTCCCACGTCACCGGTGGCCAGCCGGCTTTGGGGCAAGGAGTGGTCATACACGCGAGAGAAGGGACTTTGCTCACAAAGCTAATATTACTATATATTCGCCCGAAAAATCGGCGTACAACCGATGTGGGACTAAACCCCCGTCACACCTTCCTCAGAAGAGGCGGGCGACCAGCGCAGGTTTGAATCCTCCTAGAGTCAAAATTCATATATTTTTATCTGATTATCGCGACTTTCCTGCATATCGCCGGTGAAGGATTAAGCAACGAGAATCGCTGGATCATCGGCAAAAATCTCATCAACATAATTCGCGGAGCATTGCTACTAAAATTGCTAAACGATTCGCGATAAAAGGATCGCGAATCTATTGAGTAAATCATCTCCGATTGATCGACGAACAAGCTGTCGTCGGGAAGAGGACGATCTGCTAGGAGACTAGTCACCACCTCTTGAGAGCGTACCAGATGCAATGAAGAGCCTCCTCTTGCTGTGCGGACCTGAGGATGAAGCTCCCTGACACGCGCCCCACCTCCATCCAACTCCTCTTCGTCGGGTGACAGCCACCGGAGAGCCGCAAAGTCACCGTTTTTCCGCTCTGCCGGGTGACAGCTGTCGGAGATGATTCAACGACCCACTTCATTGATCTCTAGACTTCGCGAGAAGATCTAGAGATTGCCCACGTCGTCTTTGTCCAAGGAGAGCCTTCGAGGCCATGGACACTGCACGACGATCCTCCCGAACGCTCAAGACTCCAGTACATCGCCGACGCATCGCCGTCGCGACGCCAGAACTCTGTTTTCCTGCTTTCAATTTAATTTACGCTTTATTTAGTGATACTTTGTTGATTTTAATTTACCAAACTATACTTTGTTCAATTACGATTCTTCCGGGTTTTACAGATCTTAATTTGATTAATTAAGTCGTCTATAATTGCCTCTATAAGAATCGCCGGGCGGAACTTTGTTTTCGCCTGATTCACGTTCGCCTGGCGTTGACGTCATCCTGACATCCGCACCCTTATTTCCTTTTTTTGTGAATTTTAAATATATTTCCTTTTTATTTTCTAGTATAAAATTCGTAAGAAAATCGTATTCATTGAGAAAAATTCTGAATAATTACCATATATTATATTACATCCCTGTGATTGACCTGGAAAATTACCACTAGTTTTGGAATTTTTATTGAATTATAATTGATATATGTATTTAGAAATACTTCTAAATATCCAAAAATTCGTATTTTCTAGTTTTATAAATTTTATATTTACGTGATTTAATATACAACGACTGAGTCATGTCAACAGCCACCGAAGACAATTCAACGACCCATTTCATCGACCTTTAGACTTCACAAGAAGATCTAGAGATTGCTCACATCATCCTTCTTAAAGAAGAACTTTTGAGGCTATAGACACTACATGACAATCCTCCTAAATGCTTAGGATTCTGGTGCATCACCGATGTATCGCTATCACAATGTCAGAACTTTATTTTATCATTTTTTTTATTAGTTTAACTTCCTCTCTCATTTTTTAAAATTTTAAAAAAAATTAGTGAATGTCCAAGTTATCCATGTCTAAAGAGAGCCTTTGAGGTTATGGACGTTGTTTAATGACCCTCTCAAACATATAGAATTTCAACAAATATTGTCTCAAGGTCGAAACTTTGTCTTTCTTACTTTCAACTTAATTATCACTTCATTTAGTGATAATTTATATAACTTTTACTTTTTAAATTATTCTTTGTTCAATTACGATTCTTCTAGCTTTTATAGATCTTAATTTGACCAATTAAATCGTTTGTAATCACTTATATAAGAATCACTAGATGAAACTCTATTTTCGCTCAATTCACATGCATCAAGTGCTGACATCATCTTGACATCATACCCCTTATTTTTCTTTTTTTGTGAAGTTTAAATATACTTTATTTTCATTTCTTAGTATAAAATTCTTCAAAATTATATTCTTTATAGAAAATTCGAAAATACTAGATATTATATTACACCCCCATGATTGACTTGGAAAATTATCACTATTTGTTAGAACTTTTACTGAATTTTAATTAATATATTTATTCAAAAATACTTCTAAATATCTTAAAATTAGTATTTTCTAATTTTATAAAATTTTAATTTGTGTAATTTACTATACAACAACTAAGTTACGTTAATGGTTCACTTGTCAATCAGTAGAAGATGAATTTTCCTTTGAAAGCTTGTAGTTTTCTACTCGAAATCTATTGTTAGATGCCATCAAAGATCCTTATTGGTCATTGATGAAGATTCAATCAATGATCAATTGTCTCCCTCACTCTTGTCATCAATTATTTCTCTTCAAAAGAAATGCAAAGTCAAATAAAGGAAACCTTCACTAGTAGTGATTTTCCACAAAATATTTAGATAATTGGCAGCCACATGGCAACATATAGTTTGTTGGATAAAAAGATTATATAATTTTTAAGTATACCCTTAAAATAATGAAAATACAAAAGCTTTATATTCTTTATGTGCAGGGGTATGTTCAAGATTATTTTAGTTAAATAGACTCCAAGGTTTAATCCCACATCGATTTTTTGGAAAACATTATATTTATATAAGCTTAGGTGTTCTTAATCATATGAATTCCTCCTTAAAACAAAATGGTCAAGACCATCTAAGGGGGAGAGACACAAATGGTCTAACCCCATGCAACACATGTGACAAGATCATACCCTAGCCCATGTGCAAGCTCCTACTAGTGATATGGAAGGGGAGTGATGCACATATGCTTGTGATGGGCACTTGAGCCACTTGAGTTTCCAGCTCATAGTTCCTCCCTAATTGAGTTACTCACTCAAGTAGTTCCCCTAGCCAAAGGTTTGACTACCAAGTGTCAGCTAGCTAGTAACTCCCCCCCTTTTTTTCTTTTTTATTCATTTTAACTTTAAAACATAAATATAAAAATTATGCAAAAACTATTTTTCCCAATTTATGATAAATATAAGACTATTTATCATAGGCTAATATATAAAACATATCATTAAGCTAACCATTAACTCATTAAATAGAGATTTATTAAGTCATAATAGGGGTAGAGAGGAGATGAGAGAGAGAGAGAGAACTAGAGTTGCCTAATCATACACATTCTAATATGAGACCATACAAATATATTTTTAAAATCCTCAATGACCTTAGTTATCACTAATCTCTTCTAGCCTTGACCCACTCCAACCTCAACTCCACTTCTCCGCATTCTACATCCCTAAGCCTTAAGATCATGTCTTGGACCACTTTCCCATTGTAGACATAGATCTTGCTTTCATCCACCAAGCAATTGGTTGAGTTAGGACTCACTCTACTGATGATGTCATTATTCAAGAGAGTTCCTAATTCTGTCCTTCCAACTTCCACAAGTGGTTGTATGTCAATCTCTGCTTTACCCATGGGGTCATCAGGGGTGAAGGTATCTTTATCAAAGACTTCCTAAATGACCCAAAAAAAGTAAATGTATTAGTCATTATGAATTATTATAACAAGATGAACTTAATTAGTGTACTTACAACTATACATTCCAATTGACTATGGTATGATTCATAATTTGTCATTATCTTGATTGAGGGGTAATATCATACAAAAAATATAATAATTGATATTCTTTCTATGAATTTAAATGGTTTAGGAGATAACATAATAGTTTGTCATGCTAGCACTTTGAAATTTAGATATTATGGAAGATGATGTATTAAATGTCAAGGAATTCAAATTAGTTCAGTAGATGATCTAATGATTTACAATATTAATACTCCATGTGTGAGATACTTCATGCAATGATCTACGAACCAATGACTTGTTAACTTCAAGTAGTATATGACATAGTATTGGCTTGAGTGGATTCAATGGATATAATAAATCAGGTAGTGATGCATAGTGTCAATTTTAATTAATCAAGTAATATATTAGATGACCTATTAATTCGTAATGATAGCTAGAGTGAGTAGACAATACCATTCAGTAATTTTTAATGTTAAACCAACACACCCAAATGACATTCAAAACATCCCACTAGCAAGTAATGTTGTCCAAAAGGAATTTGAATGAAACAATAGAATCATATGCAATATTATTGACTTAAGTGGTCTATAATATAATATCATAGTTTACAGTATTAGTTTCCTTTAATCTAATGATGAATGAGATGATCATAATGAATTTAAATGATGTGTGGGATGATCTAATAATATATTTTTTCTGGCATCTACTCAAATGGTAATAAAGTTGGTTTAATTGTCAAATTAAATGGTCTATATATGATATGAGCATAGCAGCTAATGATGGGCATTACGTGGCTAAATTGGTCAATGCCAACTAGGGACTAGATAACATGTTGGTCAATCCAAGCCCACTTTATAAACTCTTTTTCTACAATGATGAGAAGTTTAAAAGTCAATTAACCATGTATTGAAAGACACTCATGGACACTACTAGAACTCACAAAGAGTACTTCAGGGAACTCACCAGCTTGATATTGATACTTGGATCTAGTACGATTAAGGTCAGGTCCTCATTCCACTCTGGGTTGAGATTCTTTTTTATCACTTTTGTCTTTACTCGCTGTGGTAAATCATAAAAGGAAAAAAGCAAGGACAAATGAAGAACATTAGTGATGAATAATTGTAAGCTTCACACCTGTCAAAAAGAGAATTTCTTTTGTTAGCAGTAAGTCTACCCCTCAACTTGGTAAATAAACTACTGATAAAGAATGAGAAAGATCTCAAGTCAAGCATTGGTAACCAATAGTCACAAACTTTTCAATACCAACCAAAGGTTTCAAAAATATTCATGTACATATATATTGCTCTTATTATTTATTAGAATACCAAATTAGGCGTATTCTCTCTCTCTCTCCCTCTCTCCCTCCCTCCCTCTCCTGCGGGACGCGTTCACCGATCCAGAGCCTTGAGGCAGACTACGCACTCGGAGGATCCTCGGAGGCGCCCAAAAGTGGGGGTGGGGGGACGGGATCGACCCGAAATCGGATGGAAACCGCCAATCCTCGGAGGCCCCCCTTGGGGGTGGGAGGATCCTCGTCTTCTTCCTCCCGCCCACCCTCCCCTCCCGTGGCTCAGGAAGAGCCGCAGGGGCAGCAGCAGCAGCGGACGGTAAAGAGAGAGAAAGATGGACGTAGAGAATTCGGGTAAAACCTTGTTCTTCTAGCCGAGGAAGGGAAAGATCGAGAGAGAGAGAGAGAGAGGATTGGGGGAAGAACCTTGTTCCTCCAGCTGAGGACAACGTAGGGATCGCTGCTGCGGAGGTCACGGGTGGAGAGGTTCCTTGCCTTGATCTCCCGTACTTTCAACAACCCTTCCCACGTCCGCCCGTCTCTCATCGTCCTCGTCTTTCTCCTTCTCTTCGGCCGCCGGTGTCTTGGGGTGGAGGAGCTTCCGAAGTTATATCATGTACGGGAGTTGCCTCCACGTCCCTTTATTTGGATGGGAATGCCTCTAGGGAATGATCAGTCCAAACTCAAGGAACTGGGGAGGTATTGAAAAATCCATGGGACCCATTTCCCCGCCGCCGCCTAATAGATTCCGATGTAATCTCAGTAAAGTTACCATTACAAATTTGTGGGACCTGATTCCCCCTAGGCAGCTTAGGGTCGGCGCGGTGAAGCTACGGTAGGAATGGGCCCGGTAAAGACGTCCGATGAGCCTCTTGCGAAGGGATTGGAGGGGAGGGGAACAAAATAGGCCCAATAGCATTAGCCCGCATTGTACACGTTCCCAAGCCCAATAATGGTAAAGAGATGACTTTCAGATAGCATCGGCCCAATTTCAATCCTTCAAACCTCCCCTCCTCTGCTGGTCATATCCGCCGGAGAGAAGCTAGAGAGAGAGAAGGCTGGGGGGGGGAGGGGACGGGACGGGACGGGGAGAGGGAATAGACCTCCCGATCAGCTTCACGGCCGTGCTCCTCTGCAGTTCAGGAATACTGACAATGACTGCACCGTGGATAGCTACAGCGAGAGAGAGAGAGAATGAGAGAGAGTCTACGGGTGTCTGTTTAGTGGACGAAAGAGAGATGCGAAAGGAATTCTCCTCCTCCAAAATCCCAGTGGCGGTCGTCCTCTACGACTGTCAGGGAGACGAACACATCTCCATCAAATGGACGGCAAGAGAGAGAGAGAGAGAGAGAGAGAGAGAGAGACTCTCTATCATTCTCTCTCTCTCTCTCTGTCATTGCGTGTGCGTGTGTTTGGTGGAAGAAAGAGAGATGCAAAAGGAATTCTCCTCCAAAATCCCGGCGGTCTCGTTCACCACGACTGTCAGGGTGAGAGTGAGAGATAGACGGCAAGAGATAGAGAGTGAGAGTGAAACGCAGTGGCCTCCTCCTCGTCCGCCTCCTTCAGCGAAACAGGAAAGCAGATAGCTGGTAGGAGAGAGAGACAAAAAGGAACGAGGAGATGGCTGAAACCTGGCTGGCCATGCTGAGGAGGACGTAGGGATCGCTGCTGAAGAGATCGCGTACCGCGAGGTTATAGCCGCGGAGGACCTTCACGCTCAACAGCCCCAGCAGCGGCTCCGCCGTGCTCTCCCCTGTCATCTCACTCGCAGATCCCCGCTTCTAAGTGAAACATATATATAAATATAAATATATATATATGTAGACGCGCTTTGAAGAAAATAAATTTTCTTCGGCTCGCGATCCTTCTGGGAATGCACCGTCGGGTCAATTGCCGAGTAGGCTCCTTGACAATTAGAGGATTCTAGAATCACTGTACCGTCTTGAGATTAGTCAAACAAGTCAGACAAAGCTCACCGCCCCGACCTCCACCAGACCAGCCTAGACAAAGCTCGGGTCTCATCTAAATTTCTCTTGAATTATGTTAGTTAATTAAAATATCAAAGCACTTTTTTAAATACACATACACACGAAATTATATATATAAATATATACAGAAACATTCAATTGAAGTCATTGACGAGTAAAGTGTCTCTCTCCTGCCCCCCTACTTTCCTCTTTTAAGAAGTAACGGGTGTTGTGAAAAAACACGCACGAAAATTTCTCTTGCATCATTTAAATTAATAAAAAGACTAATGCATATTTTCTTAAAACACACGAAAGTTGATCCCCATATATATACTTTATACATAAAAATATTGAATAAAATTGACTTGTCTCTCTCTCTCTCTCCTTGCCCCCCACTTCCCCTCGCTCTCCTTTTAAGTAGGAATGTGTTTCGTGGAAAACGTTCATAGAGAAGAATTCTATAGAGGACGGCAAAATCACTCACTTTTTTTCTTGAAGATATTTATCTTTCGAAGATTTGTGAATTAGCAATTTACTAATCTTTAATTACAAAGCATTGGTTCGGTGATGCATAATTTTCAAAGATTTTGAGGGTGTGAAATAGAAAACATAATTGATAGTGCCTTAAAATAAAATCGACCCTTTAATCATAATCGCATTATTTTATATAATCCAAGGCCCGAAATGGTGGGCTCAAGTCTTGGCCACCTTAATATACCTTCATAAATAAGGCAACCCAGACACAGGATTCATATATGATTTACGCATATATAAGTAGTTGGAAATATACAGAATAAAGAGCTAAGGCAGCATGATTCAACGACCACCAAAAAAGGGAATATATATCTACAGGCGGAATCAATGAGAGGTGCAAAATACCCATTTCCCCCGTCAGAAAAAGAGACTTTCATGGAACAAAATACTCAGTTGTCGTTGTCGCTTGTTAAAAGGGGAAAACCAAATGATGACGGACCAATTCAGAGCCTCCTTCCCTTCCCTCCCACGACAGTCAAGCTGGGAAGAACTCCAGGAAGAGGCTACGTACCTCGTCAGGGGGCTCTCCTGTAGAGCCGATTGTAGGCCAGCCGCTTGCTCCCCCACTTCCACCAGATGGGCCCGAGCGGGGTGGTCCGCCTCTTCCTCCTGGTCTCCTCTGGGTCAGCACGAAGCGAGATTTAGTCAACACAATAATTAAAAGAAGCAAATCCAGAGATAGAGGTCAACTCCATGCAGTGTTTCATTCATACATCCATTCGCAATGGTGGCACATTCTATACATCTCTTTAAAATATGTATGCTTGTAATGATAAATTCCTATCTTCAGAAACCTCTCGAAGGATATCTGTCAGCCTTTCCCAAAAGAGAGGAAGTTCATTGGAACCTCCTAGAGATAGACAGAGGCGAGAGAGAGAGAGAGAGAGAGAAAGTTCAATGGAACCTCCTAGAGATAGACGCTAACTATATATATATCTCCCCCTCCCATTCCGGCCTTAGCATGGGTGGCATCTTACCATACCAGCTTCGGAATGAACAAGATCTCTGCAACATCCGAGATCCCTTCTCTCATCTTCACTCCCCCACTGCACCAGTTTCCCCAGGGGGAGATGATGCTCCAAACTCAAGAGATCCTCGCATCCCCGACACTTGACCTGCACAAGACCGACATTGTCAAGGTCGAGATGCTGATACAAGATGCCGTGGGCACAAACAAAATGGAACAACTCAACACACCCCCTCCCATCCACTTCTGCTCTGCTCTCACCAGTTCATGAGCTTGTTCATCCTACAGCAGTCGTATGATCTACTACTCAAAGAACCAGTAACGGGGAAGAAACAGTCACTTCCTATGGAGACAGATCCCACATAGATTGAAGGATGCTAGGGATCAAACACTTCACACTTTGGGGGTCCCCATCTCACACCAGATCAAACAGCGGCGACCCCCCTCCTAGATGGATCTAGGACCATCTACTCTTATGGGCGTAAGATAAGACCTTTGAAGGGTCGCAGCGCTCTTAAAAATCTGGCCTACAATTCTCAACGTCTCCTATAGCAAATGGGCTGGAATGTAGTGAAAAGAGTAGGGATACACTAATAGATATTAGATACTCCTAGAAACGGCCAAAATAGTAAAAGATAAACTGAACTTAAATGAACTAGAAAAGTCAGCAAAGAAAACCCAATTACTTTATTCACCAAGTCCAGCCATGCGGTTCATTCAGGTGTATAGACCACGACCGGTGCAGGGTTGACTCCAATGTCCTCATCAACTAAGAATCAGAAACGGCCAAGGCAAAGTCGTTCTCCAAACTCTATCACGTGATGTGCATAAAGACACCGTTTTCGAGTTCAATCAAGAAAATTAGAACATCACATTCGCCACATGCCAGTCGCAGTGATGACTAATATATCTCTCTGCTTCTTTTTCTTCTTCTTAGTGACTATGGTGGAAGGGAGCTGATAATACCCAGGGGATCACACCTTCAATCCACCTTCATATTTTCCTTCGGTTTTCGTACGATAATCCATGGTAATTAATACCCAGGCATTTCAATAAAATATATATGATAGGAAGAAAATCGAAAGGCTGACTTTCAAGGAAACGGGGTAATAAATAGATGGCCCTCACGTATACTCACTTATCTTCATGGAGGGCAACGAATCCCACTGGCGCTGTATTTTCTCGTAGGTTGACTTCAGCATGGGCCAGTACTCGAGCTGTATGGTCAACACTTCCAGAATGGTTTGCAATCCTGTTCTTGAAGGCAGGACATCCTGCATCTCACACGCGGGCTCATCTCCAAGGAGTACCTTCAAGATAATCGAAGACAAATCAAAAGGCAAAAAGACTATGAAAAAATATGTAGTAAAATTGACATATTTCGTTTATTTCTTCATCTGTTCTGCCTTCAATGGGCTTCGATTGAAAACACTCCAGTAAGAGCAACGAGTAAACTTCACCAAAGGTTTGTATAATATTCTCAAGAGGTATTTTTTTATGCTTGGATAAAACAAGGGCTAATTAACGTATGTGAATGTGAGAATTCCCCCAAACATATTCTACCTTTACAACCGCAGTAGCCGAGGAAGATATAGAACGGAGGTTATACCTGCAGAAGACGAAAGTAATATTAACTCCATACTGATACAAGCTTGGGAACACACCACACAGCAAAACACATGAAGAGCACTCACCCCCCTTCGAGAACAACCAATAACCGCCCCTGTGAGACATCCTTCAACATATGTGTCATTTGAGCATAACCATCAGGGGTTACCTGAAAATAAAGTGTCCATGAGTTTAGTTAATTCGTACAAAATTCAAAAGAAAATGTCTCATTGTAAAGCGAGAAGAGTATGGCGCCACCAACTATTCAAGCATGAAGATTAGGAATTTGAAGCAGTGCTATCAACGCAGAAGTAATAGGTAGAGGCCATTAGATGACTTCTTGAATTTGAGGCCGTCACAGACAAATGAAGGCCAAAAATCCTGTGCAGAGGATTTCACATGACAGTACAATCTCAAAAGACCAAGTTCGAAAAGAAATATTTGATGCCATGTTACAGTGGTAGCAGAAGAAATATGGACGTGTTGACATTGATGGTCACTACATTCCTTGTAACAAAAACATAATGAAATAATAAAAAATAGAAATTCAGGAGGCATGTCTGGCCAATAGAGTGCGAATCAATAGTATTTGTGATACAGTATTAGCCTGAGAAGTATGCTGGAGGCATGAATTTTTCTGGCCAAGAGACTGGACGCAAGCAATCCTTTGTGGCAAGTAACAAAACTCCATCCATGTGTTTGGTAGTTTACTCATGGGTAAATGCATTCCACAAGTAGGCCCCAGGAAAATTTGATAGTTTAAACTGGTCCTGTGATTGGATGACGCTCACTACCTCGGCCCAAATGATTATCTTGAATGAGTTCAAGATAGGAATCTACAGGCAAGCCCTTTTTCTAAAGACAAGAGGCAAAATGGGCCAATTTATGGTTTAGACTGCAATAATAAAAAGATTAAACGGGTCATCGAAATATACAATCACATAGAATGACAATGTTATCGAATTCTATCGTGGCAGGGAAATAGGAATCTTTATTCACTAATAAAGGCAAAGGGCCTACATCACAGGAGCCAAGAGGATCGCCTCGCGCAGCATCAAATCCCGCAGATATAATAGTCAAATCTGGAGCAAATGCTGAAGCTGCACAAGGTAATTTAAGTTTATCAGATATTGTAGAAGCGTGGATGATGAAAAAGCAAGTCAAAACACCAGATGTATTAATCTGGCAGTCCAAAGAAAGACGTTATCAAAATACGATGAAAGCTTGAAAATAAACCAAAACAGTCGCAGAAAATAAAATTCGACCATAATAATTCAATCGGCAACAAATGAACAGCCCACTCTCAAGTGTACTAGCCATCGTCAGCATGACGCATTAGATCATAAAATCAAATAACTCGTTCATGAAAAGGTCATAAAATCAGATCAGACTCGGAGAAACTATTTTCTGCTCGATCAGCAACATTCAGAGAGTGGATCATTAACGATAATTGAAGGAAGCTCATAAGAGTTAGTAGCATTCCACGAGCATTCACGTTCTAAGGAGTTGGTTGATTAACTGCATATAATAGGACAAATAATGGGGGTAAAGAAGCAACCACGCGGTAGGCATTATATGGCTGAACCTTTTCTACTTGAGATTTCTCATAGGACTAATCTTTGAATTGGTGAAGAGGTCCATTTATGAGAATCTGGCCAATTAAATGGTAGTGATTTATAATCTTATCTTACTTTGATGATGCAGAGGGAGTTCACAGAGCTCGTCCCAAAATGTACATTCTGTCATCAATGTTAGTAGCTTCTTGCGCCACTAAAATAAAGACGGAAGCGGTCAGGGTCAAACAGCAACACTATATCGCATTCAGTTCATGTGGAACCTCTATGACCAGACAATGTCCCACCAAAACGCTCACTAAAGTTCTGCTTTAGCCTTACACATTGACTGACCCAACAGACTAGACTACAACTTCATCTTACAGGGGAGAATGCTCAATTGCTTCAATGCCCAACTGTTTCTTAGCACAACATATAACACTACCTACCTGTTTCTCACCTTGAAAAACATGATCTTATGAGGTTCAATCTTAAACTACCCATCAAAAACGCCACAGTTATAATAACCTTTCAGCACAGAATACCGGTACAAACTTCATATCCCTAACAATATACAGTCATTAGGCTAGAAAAATACCAATAGGAAGTACAGCATGCTGGAATGAAAAAATGTAGTCATTGTCCCCAACACCCCCATTCTTCCAAGGAATGTTTACACAGTAGCCTTTAGCATCCATAATGCCAACCTGCAAAAGTAAAAGTAATATCAAAAGTAAATATTTTTTTATAAAAGGCACAGATAAGTTGATGACGTAGTGACACATGGTGAACAAGCTGGTGGCATAGTAAAAAGTGGAAACCCACCGACTTTAGCAGCTCAAAGTGAAGATGGCCATTTGACACAAGAATCTTAGGCTACCCAACTCTTAGAAGTCCAAGAAGAAAGTCCAGCGAAAAACATTACATATCTGTTACCTGATTAATACATTTTTACCACAATGATTTTTAGGTTTCAGGTGGCTGTTAAGCCTTGACAAAGTTTCACATCTGGGAACAAAAAGACGATAACCTAATAATTATTGGAGTAAACTGAGTTTCGTCTTTAAAAGCAGTGGCAAACTGTAGTGAAGTCCTTGAACCATAAATGTTACTGCAATCTATATGTATTGTTACTTAATAATTAAAAAATTTACAGCTTACAACTAGTAACGTGCAATCTTTTGAAAGGGTAAACTAAAAAATTCATTTTCTACTAATATTTTTGCGGAACCCCCCCCCCTGCCCGAACAATGATCCAAAATTAGTCCAAGCAGCTATTCTGTCAATGAGTTGCACTTTTATAACGCCTTATCGAGCAGAGTTTATTTCTAATTCCTATAAACATATATATCTTCATAGATGCCACAAAAACATTGGAATAAGATAAAATCATCAATTACCCTTCCCTAGATATCCTTCAATTTGAATTTTAAGTAGTAGATTTAACTTTTCTTGATTATCAGGACATGTTACCTAACCAAGATGGTAATAAGTCACCACCTTAGTAACCTTGATAAGATGAAAAATATCAATCCCATATCGGGAAAATCATTCAATGATAATTCAATATGATGCAAATGAAAGAAGGAAACCAGTCTATTAACACAAAATACATCTCTAAAGATATGTCTGATATTAGTATGCCAGAGATCATTATGCCTTTGTGTGACCTTTCTCTGCACTTACGAAAAATAGTAATCAATGTATGCAAAAGAGGCCACTCAGCAACCAGCCATGAGTGATGCTAGGCTAAATTCAAATAACCACGCATATTCTTTCAATAAAGACAATCAAAAGAAAACCAATGAAAATATAATAATACATGACAAGTTAGCTTAACGTAAGCATTTTGAAATCTAAATTGCTGCACCAAAAAATTGTGATACTTATTAATTTGTTGTTATACTTCACGGTCACTGACTAAATAGTTGTTAAGGACGAGAATGAGCCAAGATGCCAGGATGGCATGCCTATTTTGAAACGGAAAATAACAGGATGCGGGTAAACCAAGACAACGTGATTTAGTAACTCAAAGAACAATGATGTGATGGATTCCCATACAGATTCAATCAAGTTGTTCGACTATGCAATCTATGAGATATAGTGGACAAGTTGGCTATATATGTTAAGGAAGGGTCTATTATTTTATTTAGTGAACAAGGAAAAAAAATCTTAGACATAATTAAAATGAAAAATAGATACATCTTGAGCCGCTCCTGTTCCTGGGTAGAACCTTCCATTTTCGTGTCTATGCAGGGACACATAGAGTACCTAGATAAACAAGAGCCAAAAAATATTATACAATCTGCTAAAATGAAATCTACAAGCGAAAGCAATAGATACGAACAATAAATGCACCTGCTTCGAGAATGCAATTATAACTTTAAAAAATAACAATTTGCATTCTAGAAGAAACAAAAAAAAAACAAAATGAATCAACCGTTGAACAAAATAATTCATACGGGCTTTAAACTTAAAAGTAGAGAAAAGATAAAACGTAAGGGAACATGTACCTAAAAGAAAGAATGACAGACATGAGGAAACACATTTTTGGTATCATGATTCAGAGGACAGATAAGTGGACTCTTAATCCTGTGGATAATATACAAGTGTTTCATGCTTTCAAGCTTATCTCCATGACATCCAGCACTACAATTTAAGATTAGAAATGGTTTACGATACAATCCAGGAGAAATTTGCATCAAGACTCACCGACTTGTTTGCCTCAAATATTTCTTGTGTACCATTTCCATGATGTACATCCTGCAGACAGTATAAATCATTATCTAAGCACAAGAAATTAACATGAGATAACAGAAAAATTAAAATAAAACCAGTTAATAGAATAAATAAATGAAAAATAAACTTATGAAGCAAGGAACATCATTACCCAGTCAACAATTAATACTTTCTGGGCACCAGCGGCCATGGCTGCCAATGCTGCAACAGCTGCATTATTGTGTAGGCAGAAACCCATTGCTTGCTTTACACCAGCATGATGCCCAGGAGGCCTAACCTAACTTCCAAAAGAACTGAGTCATGCGCCAAGCACAATGTGAAAATTATGAATTCAACTGTGAAGTAACAACAATGATAGTAATGTGATAACCTACCAGTGCAAAACCATTCCTAGCACGCCCAGACATGATTGCTGAAGCGAGATCTGAACACACACCTGCTGCAAGTCTTGCAGCACATGCTGAGTGTTCATTGGCATATGTGTCCGGGGTAAAATAGCTGTTAATTTAGCATGCAGGTTAAAATATGCAACAAGATTAGCATATCATCCACAGCACATCTCATCCTACTCCAATAAGGCATCTGAGATTACATAGAAACATTGTTTCGAAACATGAACCAAAGGGATGAACATTACAATAAGTATAATTAGATTTGAGTGGAAGCATTTAACCAAAGAAGCATATCCTTCCATGATTTTGATACCACAACAATAAAATGATAGAAATTAACAACCACTCAAGATATGGAAGTAGAAAACCATGAGAAGCTATTCAGGTAAACGTGTACAGCAAAGAAACTAGTTCAACGAACATTCTGAGCATCCTAACCATATCTACAAAGTTAGCTCAGTGGGTGATAAATTTCCAATAAAATACGAGCATCCACTGAAGTTCCCTTCAAAATATAAAAGTACACAAATCTGTAAAGAATCAGGTGCACAAAATATTCAGGCTCCACGAATACTTTCGTCTATAAATTCTTTGGGCAAACCCTCAAAAATCTTTAAGAAAAACGAAAAGATTCTTGGCAATGTAGAGGGTCAAGCAGAACTTCAACTTTATCCATATGCGACCAGAAAGACCATCAAAAAAAGTTGTTTATCTGAATGGCTAACAACAATCAACTATAGTTTCTTTTCTTTTCTCAGAAATATGAACAAAAATCTCATAAAGGAAAAAGGAATTGCCTATTCACATTTCATGTTTATGATGAGACACTGCACATTTCATTAAAACAAAGAAATGCCAATGGATCTTCATGGAAATCAAAAAAAATCATATAAATATTTAGAAAAGAAAAGAAGAGAGAAAAGCAAACTAATCCAACAGTTCATTTAGAAGAGTGAACCATTCAAGAAATAATGTTGTGCACCTCAGTAGCAAATTTCGTGTACTCTCGACTGATTCCACATGGTCTAAAGAATGAACCTGCATGCCAATGAAAGCATAGAGAAGTCAATTATAGTCATTCTTTTAATGGCAAGCCAATTTGATCTATTTTATTTCAAAAAAAAAATGTTAGCTGCCATCTGATGGTGCACTAAGGGACCCTAGGAACACTATTACAATGATTATCATAGCCGTGGCAGAACCAAATACACCACATATTTCCTGACATGGTAGTTTTGTAAGAATAAAAGGCATCTGTTACCAATACTAAAGAGCGTCAAACAAAAGTCTGTAGAAGACAATCTATGACATAAAATGAGTAAAAAACCATTAAATCATACATTTTCAAGAAATTTCAGCTTACCCTCTGAAGCTCCTCCACAGTAATTTCCCTAGCAGGAAGACTAAAACATTTTCCAGGAAATAGGCCTGTAGACAAAGGAAATAGCAGCTCACATGGAAATGACAAAAAAGGTTCAAGGCTAGCAATAGATGAATGTATAGAATAAATACCAGCAGTCGAGAGACTAGCCACAATTGCTCGAAGGCGATCAGGTCGTTCAGGATGTGGATGTGACTTCATTTCCACCTGTAACAAAACAATAAGAACTACTAATAAGTAAATGTGAGCCTACATTCTATTGCACAACTGGCCACGATCCTCACCACATTGAGACTGCATTGGAACTGAAATAAAATATGATAGGTATGTTATGCCCTCCCAGTACCAAGCAGTAAAGTTTCATCCTCTCCTTTCCCGTCCCTCCCAAAAAGCACAAAAGGACACTACGTCTTCAAAAATCACGTAGCAGATTCTAAAGTACTCTGATATTGTATTTCCTACAAGGTTAAAGTTTCTCACCAGAATGAAATTAAGAACAGTAAAACTAACCACATTGGATGTCTTGCACAGGACGAAATTTTGGACTGGCAAGGAAAACCAGGACGATAAAATGGGAGCATTTGAAATGAACTCTACTGTGAACCTCAGATATTCTTGAATCGCCCTCAAACATTTATTTATTCTCTCTGAAAAGAGGCCACACAACTGCACATAAAAAGTCTCATCTTACTTCGTATTCTTTTAACTGGCAATGGCAACAAAAATTCATCATCAGGATAGACAGTCGAAATGACATCACTGTATTGTGGTCATCAGTCGCAGGAGCTACAGCATCCAAAGGACTATTGATGGAAGTAGGGATAGATGCCCCACAAATAGGGGCAAACTCCAACAAGAGAGAACAAAGCCACTCAGTAAAGATTGAGCAAGAAATTCAGCAATGTATGCACATCAATCAGAATGACTCCCATCACCTTAGCTGACCTCATTTTAAATCATGTTACCAGGCCTTGGCAAGTCGTGTCCGTCCATCGACAAAAACATCATTATAGTTCACAAGGAAAGAAGGATTAAGACTTGCAAACCCTTCAATATGGACGTCCACCTCAACCAAAGCAACAAACCTGGTTGACCAACATCCATGTCACACATTATACATAATTGATAGTACCATAAGTAGATAATTAAGCATAACCCCGCTTAATTGACCAATATCTATATTTCAGGTGATATATCTCCTTCCTAAATATATGGGACCACTCAAAATTTCAGTCTTACTCTAATGGTCAAGGTCGTGCTCATAATTTATATTTAACAACTGGGAATCTATTTATCACAAAGGAATGCATATATGATACCCAGGCTACCATAACAAAAAAAACTTACCTCAAAATGCAATAACATTCTCTCATCAAAGCCAATGGCAGTACCGTCTTGATGGATACCTGTACAAGTTTTAAACAAAGATCTTACTTCTATCTGCTGTGTTGATCATAAGAGCAACGGATGCACTTTAATGAATGTCGTGAGAGAATGAAGAAAACGACTGAATATTTGTTATTTCATATTCTTCATTAAGTATAGGCGACCAATCCAAGATTACCCCAATGGTCAATCGAATGCCAGAATAGATTGGGTCACGAAAATTGTCATGAGAGCACAATAGTCGTTTATATATTGGTGCTCAGAACCACGAATTAAAGCTTCTTCTTGAAGACCCTGTAGCATCAAGTAATCATAGTTTGTTGCGGGAGAATCATATTACAATTGCCACTTCTCCCTTCGCATTTATGAGGGTTTTCTTCACATACGCGATCATGTACTGTATGGGGCCCCTGATTAAACCCAAATCCAGATAATTTTATTTTCAATGCTGCCTTGAGGCAACCACACCGTAAACTAAATCTTGGAAGGGTCAAACTACCTATCGTAACAATCCATTCATGACTTAGTGCAGTCAGATGAACACCCAAGAATCAAGACATAAGAAACTATCAAGACACTACTATCCAATAATAGCTATGCATTCAACATTGCTGAAGATAATTTATAAAGGAAACATTCACGACTTTCTGATGCGCTTTTACATCAATTCAAACATAATTATGGTAGCGTTTACCAGAAATCTTATCCTGCCTATCTGCAAAAGAAAGGAGCAAAGTCTGCAAGTACTGACACTGATTTATGCTGACTTATCAGGAAGAAACAAAAAATTGGGAACACTACTGGGCTATGGAGGTTTGCCTTTGATGTTAAGAATTCAAATTCCTAACCGTTATGAGCTGCCAGTTCTTGCGATCAATTGATGAAAAAGAAATACCAAAAAATGGGGGGAAGAGTAACCAGAATAAAGAAAAACTCGTTTCATATGCAATAAATACAAGAACAAATGCAAAGTCTAACCTTGGCATCTCTCTTTGAGATCTAGCTTAGTAGATGTTTGATCCTCTGCCGAATGAGAAGCAAAAAACCCTTGAGTAAGGATCTTTGACTCCTTGTACTCTCCACATATCTTCAATATCAAAAGAAAAATATGCATCAGAGCACGTTTCCAACGAAGCATTTAATGATTCATTCCATGTGTATCAAGCAACAATGAAATCATTCATACATCACAGTAGGAGACGTCGTCAAAGTTTGGCATGGTGCAATTGACGCAGAACCACTTCTTGCTGATCAAGCGCATAACAGGCTCCCAGTCGCTGTCGTCATCATCTTCGTCGTCGTATTGCTCTTCCATATTAGAAAGGTCTTGAAGGGTGCTCCCAACAGTGTGCCTAGAAACTCTCTGACGGGGTGCCGTACCGCAGGCTTCATAATCACCATCCTCCTCGGCACCAGCAGCGCCCTTGAGGCTCACCGCGCATTCCTCGACCACTACATTTCTACCAGAGGCGAGATGCAAAGTGGTCGCTACACCAAGGTTAGCATCCACCCGTCCACCGTTGTTCGCCATCGCGTGGGGACCGGATCCGAGTGCTGATTAAAAAGTTAAAAAGAAAAAATGCACCGTTCAATAACCCATCGGCAGCTTCCGGCAGGGAAGAACTCGGATCCCCCATTTCTCTTCGAATCAAAAATTATTTAAAACATACCTAATAAATATATCAAGGCTGAGAGAGTGCTCCGCGAATCTCAACGGGCAGACAGAACTCAGAGGGACAGATTCCACGACCGTAAAACTTTATAAAACACGAAGAACAACGATGAGACTACTCGGCGAAAGATTTCATTCGAGTCCGTACTTTTCCGTAGCAATTCATCGACGGATCAAACGCCCCAATTCAGCGAACGAATCCAACGAGACAAAAGAGCAAGCGAGAGAGCGAGAGAGAGAGAGAGTGGGCACGAGACGGTGGAAAATGAGGCAAAAGACCCAACGGAGGAACGGATCTATTTAGGGTTTTTCTTTCGATGAGAAATTCGAACTTTCCCCCTCGTATTTCCCTTTTTCCTCCACTACCTCCCGACCCCGGGAGGAATAAGATGTTCCCCGGGTGCACCCTGCATTATCAAGTTACCGCAGAAAAAACAAAGTTCCGTGAAGCAAGCCCCTGATAACCTGTGCTAATGGTCCAAATTCAATGGTATAACACCGATCATTCTCTAGAGAGAGAGTGAGGGGGCCCATTAAAACACCAATCATTTCATTAAAGCACCAATCATTTTATAAATGATATAAAACTAAAATTCAGTTACAACTTGAATAAAACAGTTGATATTTTCCCCAGGCCGTTAACCCCCCCCCCCCTTCATTAAGGAGCTTTTTAACATGCAACAACGCAAAGTTAACGACAAAATGAGAGCTTTTTAGTATTTTTTTATTGTCTTTGTAAAATGAGCAATGGTGTGAAAATGAGTGAACAACTTTAGCATGGCCTTGATTAGTTAGTCAAATGTTTATGAAATGATTCTCCCAATGATCACTGCAACTTATGAAATCTCCAATTTCATGAACCCATACACTTTTTCTTGTTTCCAAATTCCTTCCATAGGAAGCCAAATAAAATCTCCAATTAGTTGGCCACTGTGTATCTTCATCTTTCCTTCACATATGAGGGCATGTTGGATATCAAGAGGGAGGGGGGGGGGACATTCATCATTTTTCTTTTCTTATTATTTTTTTCTACACAATTCTTCTTCAAAGGATGAAGGATGACCACAAACAAACTTACATATTAGTTCTATAATAGTTGTGTTGTATCCTCATATCTACTCTCCAAAGGCTAGGTCCTTTGATTTTACTATTTCCTTAACAACTTAAATATAAAATTTTAGACTCCACTATCTATTATATTTGACAACTCTAGTTAACTTAAGATTTTGTAGATCTCCTTCTAGATTATAAGACTCTATGTGATCTTTTTAGATTATATGTTTTAAGGATGCCAAACTTCTTACATTTTATAGTAAATAATAAAGTATGTTTTCTAAATGATGTAATTCTTATATAGATGTGTTAATCTATTTTCTAGATCAATTTTATAGTAGCACCATGGATCTATTCAATTTCCTTTTAGTTGAGCTTGAGATGATGATGTTTGTCAATCAATATATCTTTAACTCTTTTTCATTACAAGTATGACTATGAAATGTTTGATAACTTCTTGTTTCTTCATCATTACATGCTCAATAAGAATATTTTTGATATATTCATGTTACTTTCTCATTGCTAGTGCAAGGAAGAGATTGGACATGATTGTGATATTGGTATACATTTGAGGAGATGATGGTGTAGTTGTGTTGTTGTTGTAGGGTAGAGTGTAGATACCCTTGGTTTCAACACTATAAATATTATTTATCAATCATGCTTGAATAAGTTATTAAATATTCATTGAATCATCAACATACACCACGATTGTTTACATATAAGCTAAATATCTTTGAGAAATATTCAAATTATATATATATTAATGATGCTCAATACAATCATATGACTAATAACAAATCTAATGAGTTACATCTTTGAGATATTTTTTCATGTTGAAATAATATAGTGTAATATTCTCAAAATATAAATGCATAATAGCATGTGTCAACACGTATGATAAAGTTTCACATATATTTCTTTAAAAGTAAAGTTACATGTGAGATTTAAACGCGGCACAAGCATTGTGAAGATAGAAGCATTAGTGTAGAGAACATCTTAAAAATCAACTGAACATCTTATTAGATACAAGATTCAAACTCAAGAAGCAAGTTACACAAAAATAAAAAAAATGATGATTGAAATATTTGAAGATCATATAGAATAAAGTATGAACATAATTTGAAATCGAGATCATTGTAACAACATTGCAGAAAGTTGATCAAATATTCAAAATAAAATCACAGGATGAGTGACTAAAGTAAAATTCAATCTTTAATCCTTTTTGGTATCTGAGTTGAACCATTTGCATGACATCATCAAGAAAATAGAAAATCTTCACCTCTTAACTTGTACAATAACACACTAACGTCTTACATGGATAGAACAATAGAGTAAAATTACAAATTTCAACTCAATCTTAAAAAAAAAATTAGCCATTAATGTATCACCAATCTCTAGAAGAAAGCCTCAAAAATTATTGATGTGTCTTAGCCGTTGTATAGTAAATCACAAAAAATTAAAATTTATAAAACTAGAAAATACTAATTTTTAGATATTTAAAAATATTTCTAAATAAATATATCAATTAAAATTTTATAAAAGTTCTAAAAAATAGTGATAATTTTTTAAGTCGATCACAGAGATGTAAGATAATATCTGATAATATTTTATATTTTTTTGTAAAAGATACAATTTGTTATAAATTGTATACTAAGAAATAAAAATAAAATATATTTAAAATTCATGAGAAAAAAGAAATAAGGGGTACAGACGTCAAGATGACATTAGCACTCGACGAATGCAAATTATACAAAAATAGAGTTTACTTGATAATTCTTACATAAGTGATTATAGATGATTTAATTGGTCAAATTAAGATGTGTAAAAGCTACAAGAATTATAATTGAATGAAGAATAGTTTAAAAAGTAGAAATTGTATAAATTAACATTAAATAAAGTAAGAATTAAGTTGAAAGTAGAAAAAATAAAGTTCTAATGTCACGGCGACGATGCATTAACTATGTACCAAAATTTTAAGTATTCGAGAGGATTGTCATGAAATATCTATAGCCTTCAAAGGCTCTCCTTAGACAAAGATGACGTGAGTAATCTCTAGATTTTTTTGTAAAGTCTAGAGATTAATAAAATGGATTGTTAAATCTTCTCTAATAATTGTCACTCAGCGGAGTAGAAAAATAGTGACTTTGTAGTTTTTCGGTGCCTATCACCCAACAAAGAAAAGCTAGATAGAAGTGAGAAACATGTCAAGAAGCTGGATAGAAGTGAGAAACATGTCAAGAAGCTTCATCTTTAGGTCCATATAGCAAAAAGAAGTTTTTTATCACATCCAATACACTCTCAAGAGGTGACAACTCATCTCTTAATAAATCATCCTCTTCCTCTTCCTAATAATAGTTTATTCATTGATCAATCGGAGGTGATTTATTTTATAGATTCGCTATCTTTTATTGCAAATCATTCAACAATTTTAGTAATAATATTTTATGAATCACGTTGATGAAATTTTCATTAATGATCAAAAAATTATGATGACTTAATACTTCATTGACGATCTACAGGCAAGTGGTGATTTAATCAAATAAAAATATGAGTTTTAACTCTAGTAAGATCTAAACTCATGTTGGTCGTTCACCTACATAAAATAGAGGAAATAAATACGCAAATACCCTTATAAAGTGACATCATCAAACTACCTCCTTTTGAAAAAAAAAGGTATTTTAAGAATTAAAATCTTTGAAATTATTCCGGGGAAGGTGTGGTTGTTGATTTAGTCCCACATCAATTATAGGCTGATTGTTGAGATGCATATATGGTAATGCAAGATTGGAAATCAATGAGTCCTTTTTTCACATGTGTATGATTACTCCTTGCCCTAAAATTGGTTAGCCATCAATGATGTACAAGGGGAGTGGCACACACATGCCCCCATCGATCTATAGTAGCTTGAGCCCTTACTCGCAGCTCTACCCCAACTATGCTTTTGACTCACTTGTAGACTTAGCTGGTTGATGGGTCCTCCCTTTTCTATTTTTTATTTTCTTTTTCTTTATTTATCTAAAAAAGAAGATTATAAAAATTATATAAATTAATATAAAATCACATAATTAGCTAAAAAATCATATTAACTAATTAAAAATTACTTTTTATAAATTAATATAAATATAAGTCTATTTATCATGAGTTGATACTAAAAATATATTATTTATTAATTATTAACTCATGATAATAAAGACTTATCAATCATCTATAAGAGACATAGTTTTAAAGCAAGAAAGAACTCAAGATTAGTCACACTTATCTTAGATTATAACATGTCACTAAAGTTTGTAAGTAAAACGACAAGCTCAATGATAATAACTAAGCTTTATCTTGAAGAAAAAGATATATGTTGATTACTTGAAAATCTCTAGACACATTATTAATGACAACTTATATGAGAGTGAAAAGATTTGAGCTTAAGTATGATTAAAGGTCAAAAGTATAGATTTTGGATGATAACTCATTAGTAAGATATGTGGACTAAAGATAAGCCAAATGATCACCTCTCAATACGATCTTGAAAGTGAAAATGTTTGTTCATCAATTATAAATCTTCAAAAAAGATAACGTGAACAACAAACGTAAGAGTAAAAAGTTGAAAGTCACTAGTACACAAACAAAGTAACAAGAAGATTTTCAAAGTGATATGACCCTAGTAATGGTGAACTTATAGGACTTGACGTAGCCTAGTAAATGCTGAACTAATATAAATTTTTTTATGCCCCTCATAATTACGAGCATGTGAAAGAGAGAGACCCAAGTGACCTAGTGACGAAAAGAGAAGAGACTTAGATAAATTAGTATAT